TTGTGGGCACAACTAATATATATATTAATTTTTTTTTACTAAAATAAAGACTTCACAGGATAAGATACATCTTTTCCCCTTTTTTCCAAGAAAATAAAACAGGCAAATGTGTTATTTGACTAACAGGCATCATAGAACTCATTGAGCAAAAATATATGTGTGCATGTATATTCTAAAACCAAGTGTCTTATTTCAAAAGGCAACCAGAAACTGAAAAGAGGCTCTGGGGGATTCTTCTATTTGTTGTAAATAGAGCAATTTCTATTTGAGAATATACTTTAAAGTCTTTCTCAAAACCTCCACTTTTAAAAGTCATTCATTCATTGATTTTTTTCACTTCCTCATTCATTTGACATTTTTTCTGATTATAATAATCATGCATATTCTGTTACAGAGATCTGGAAACTCCATTAAAGTACAAAGAAAGAACTGAAAATCCCCTTCTTTCTGCACCCAGAGCTAATGACTGTTTAATATTTTGTGCCTTTTCCTTCATAAAAGGGCCCTCCTTGGGCCCCTTCAGCAGCCTTGCTCCTTGCTCCTGACAGGAGTCAGCACTTGGTAACCGCCCCTCAAAGAAAATCTACCTTTACAAAGTATAAGAGAAAAATAAAGATTTTGCTGAAGTTTTCAGGAGGAGGCCAAGAAAAAAGACACAATACATTCTGCACAGAAAAACTTAATAGAGAATCTCCATTAGACCTCTGGATTCTTTGCCAGGCCCCTAATTCCTATTAACTGTCAGCTGCCACAGTCCCTACCCATCTTCAGTCCTGTGGCACAGAGCCAGCCCGTCCTCAGCCCCAGCCTCTCTTCTCTCTTCATCTTCACATAGATCTCAGGAAATAAGGACCCATCTTAGTGTTGCCGATAATTAGATTCTTGTCTTGTCCCAGAAAGAATTCAGAGATGAGACACGGAGGTTCAGATAAAGTGGGTATTTATTAAAGGATAGATAGTGCACTCTCAGTGGGGGAGCAGGCAGGCTCAGGTGAGCAGTTGCCCTGAGTTTTTTGGCAAGTCGATTACATACAGTGTAAAAATGAATGGGTGCTGTCTGATACACTATAATGTTATTTGACTAAGTATTCTACTGTTGGACATCTTGGTTGTTAACAGTTTTTACTATTGTATATAACACTGTGATAAATATCCTGTATATTTCCAAGTATTTTCTTTGTGAACATCTCTAATTATTTTATTAGATTAACTTTTTAAACTTGGAATTTAAGGGTCAAATTGAATGAGCATTTGGAAATTTCATGTAAACTGCCCTCCAGAAAAGTTTTAGCATGAAACATTCATTGAGTACTTACTGGGTACCAGGCACCCCAATACCTACTGAGGTTCACAAATACGTTAAAAGGGGGTAGGAGGGTATAGCTCAGTGGTAGAGCATGTGCTTAGCATGCATGAGGTCCTGAGTTCAATCCCCAGAACCTCCGTTAAAAAAAAAATATGTGTAAAATGTATTCTAGGTTATTGAAGAGCTTGTAGTTGAGTATTTGCTTTAATTAGATAGTAGGCTCCAGCTTTCTCTAAAAAGTCGATTTGAATTTGCACTCAGTGATATGGTTGAGAGGCTGCTGGCTCTGATCCTAAATGTATTGCTTAACTACATATATATATATCACACAAAAAAACCCCACTCTAATTCTTAAAGCCAAATAAACGTTCGTATACATACTTACTAGTGCATAAAAATGTGGACATATAAAATCATTCTCATTTTACTCCCCAAATCATGTTTTTTTAAAAAGGTTATTATTATTTTTAATTTATGGATTGAAAATTATTTTACTTTGGTCTTGAAGAGGAAACCATTGTTTCATATAAATACTATATATACAAACTACCACTTTAAAACTTGGTTACAAATGAATGAACATTTGCTAAACCCATGACTTTGAAGTTTCAGCAGAAATGTACTTCATGCTTGTTTTCTCCTCCATTCTGGACACAGTAAACATTTACAGGCCATTTTCAGGATTACCAGGATGCAAGGGGTATGAGGAGGGGTGGACAGAAATGCATTGAACTTTTGGGAAAGGCTGAATAACAGACTTCCCAGATTAGGAGAATGGTAATGTAAATTGGCAAATACAAGTATCTTTAACCCTGTGAACAGAACTTTAAGCCAAACAGTCCAACATTTAAGCCAATCACCAATGTTTCTAGACAGACTCATGTATTCTGTGTTGTCTCTAATTGTGTGTCTTACAAATGCAGAGGGTCAGTAGTCACATGTACATTTCACATGTCACCTGAAAAACATTCTGGTCTGAATTTGGTAGTTAAAATAGACTATTTTGTGCAATTAAGGCTGTTAAATAATCTAAATGACAATAGACTCTTTAAGAGACTTTACAATTACTGAATAAAGGTACGATAAGGAACTCTGATAGGCTAGGAAAGAAAATGAATGATGGCAAAGGTAGGCCTAGCAACAGCCATGCTCTTAGATGCCCCTCTTTTTCCTTTTTCCCCATTTTGCATGACTAAAGAGTCCTCATTTCTCTGTGACAGCACTTTTCTTGGGCCTAAATTGGAGATAATTATTTTAAGAATATCTTAAAGAACATAGTAGTAAGAGGAAGGATAAAGGCAGATTTAATTTTAACAGCTCTACCACAGTGATATACACAATACCTTACATTTTAAAAGGACTTACCATACTCAAAAAAAAAAAAGGAAAGAAAAGGAAGGAGATATGCAGGTGTTGTATATACAGTGGCTTACACAGAATGATTATCATCTGCTCTATGGAAATGAACTCCATCTAGGCCTGAAATTCTTGTATTTCTTCACGGAGTTCAAATGCCAGTGGAGGGCATTCAGAAATTTAAAGTGACTGATTTAACAGCCTTGGACAAAGAGAACATGTCTGAAAGTTTGTCTCAGTGTTTGACTTGACCTAGGAGAGTCTCTCGGCGACTTGTTTTCTGAACAGTACCCAGCACCTTGGGCCAGCAAAGTGGCCTTTAAGCTTGAATGAACAACGTATTTGTTTTCCTCTAGTGCAGAGCTTCACTATTTCATCTTTTCAAACTCTTTTACTGCACTCAGTGAGGAATTATATTGACAAGGGTAGAATTTATCTCCTGGAGGAGAATGCTATGCTTCTGCTAAGTGCTAATGTAACATTTATGTGTTGGTACCTTAACAACAGCCCCAGCTTACCTGATGCAAGTTGAAAGCAAACAGTATACTCTCTGAGACTTTATTACGACTGAAGTGCCCGCAATTTGAGGCAAATTATCCCTATTGTTGTTCCCATATCAAAACCAGAGATGCTCACGCAATTGCTACATGTTTGGTATGGAATTAGGTTCCACTCTCATTAATCTACAAGGAGGAGCATTTTTCATGTAAACAGCTCACGAGGGTCAGAGAGAAGAGCCGTTTCTCTGAAAAATGCTTGTCAATAACTTCGTGAGTGAATTTTGAAATAAAGTGCCTGTAACCTGTCATTATTCCTTCCTCTCAAAGTCGAGAGTGAGTGGGTGAAAATTGAGCATGTGAATTGAAAGCAGGGTGAGTGTTATGGCCTTATCGACTTCAGGTAGAATGACTGTTTTAACTTGTTATTATTTCTGCATTCAGAGGTCAGGCAATGTACGGTATTACCAGCATAGACTGCAGTGTAAGCAAATTGGTATACAAAAAGGCCATTACCCACACTCACAAAGCAGAGGAGAGTATAAGTCACTAATATCAAGTGGACTCGTGATCGCTACAAAAACAAAACAACCAACAGGGCTTTGGAAAAGTATGCAAGTATAAAGGGGCAGAAAATATAAACCTGTTTAAATAAAGGTGCGTATGTTTATTTAGAAGGCAGTGGCCATTTCTTCAAATCACATATTAATCATACTTGTTTTACAAAGGAATTATGGGACCTGAATACTGAGTGTTAAGCACCCCAACTCTATGTCACCTTAAAATTTTGTCCTGCCTAAGATCATTGTAAAAGTTACGAGGCATATTTTAAGTGATTTAAGGAGTTAAAAATGACAAGACTTGGTGGCTGCTTAGAATGAAGTCGGGAGAAGTTGCTAAGGAAGACAGAAGAGTCAAGGACGAGGCTCCGTTCTCCAGCCTTGGACAATGAAATGGATGGATGACACTTCCCGATATGAGGAAAATGTGTTTGGTAGGGAAGGTGGCAAGTTTATTTTTGGATATGCTGAGTTGTTTAAAGCAAACTGTTATATCCCAGGTTTCTATCCAGGTTCCCTTTTTCCTACACTCTCAGGCTAGATTTGCACAAATCCGTTGCAAATGGATAAAACAAACCTAAGCACCTATCACAGTGATGATGAACATACTTCTCTTACATACAACACAGACTGCATTTTTCACTATAGAAATGTTCTTCTTTCAAAAAAAAATTCTTCTTTCCGCATAAAAGTGTTTTTTACCTGCAAAGGTATACAAAGTGTAAACCTTTCTAAGAGTTAATTATTGTAACTCTCCTGAATTATGACTAGTTGCTGAAAACATGACACCACAGTCACCACAAATGATGTGCTGTGCCTTAAGGAGTTAATTATGCATGTATCTGTACGGATAAATACACTTCAATATTTTTGCCTTTATAGTTGTGTGATATGCAGGTACTAAAGTTGCAAGATGAGTTGAATGTATATGCGCACATAGGTTTTTGAATATAATATAATTGTTAATCTTTTCTCTCTCTTGGTTCTACCAAAGACATTAAAGTAAAGATACAAAAACTATTCAAAATGCAGACATATTTACAGGACTCCTACTTCATATTGGTAATTATGGGCAAAAATTATTAATTTATTAATTAATTAAGAGCTAGTAAACTGAAATACTTTATATGTCACCAGCATTTCAACTTGTTGCCATTTATTGCATAATTATTAACTTACTAGATTCTTACACAAGTGTGTATATATAAACCTAATACTGTTTCTGAATTATAGCAAATCCAGTGTGACATCGACATCCTGATCATTGTCTTCTATTTCTAGGAAGAACACAAGTGTCATGGCCATGCCAGTGACACAGGTCACATCCTGGTGGTGGTTCCCCATCTCTCCAGAGATGCTGCTGGGGTGGCATAGCCGGTTAGAAGGAAGAAGATCTCTGAGGGTTTTTGAATTGAATGTGAAGCTGTGGCATCCAGTTCCACTTCCTGTGCCTCTGTCTCCATTTCTTTAAGACGTGTGTCACCTTCTCTTTCCTCACCTGATTTAAGCAGGACTCTAGAAGACCTGATGACTGCATTTGTACAAGCAAGAAGACTCTCTGAAGACAACAAAGCTGCACCATTGTGTTTTAGAATGTCCTGTGAAAAAGACAACGTTAATGTCAATGTACTGCAAGCAGGTAAGAGAACTATTTGAGAGATGAGAGGCAAGTACAGACTGTGGAACCACATCATAGAGGCTTGTCAGAGAGAAAGAATAACGTAAGTAGCATGGGAGGCATTTGCCTCCAGTCCAGTTAGTAAGAGTGAGTGTGAGATGGGAGATGTGAATCCACTGTTTCCTCTGTTGATCTCAGCTCTCTTATGCCTTTTGTGTGAACCTCTCACTACTCTATGAATGATTCTCGTGTTTAAAGATATTTTTCCTACTCTATGACCCTCTTTATTATATTCCAAACCATACGGTACACATTAAACATTTATACATACGTATTAGTGAACAGGTTTGTGTACATAGTACCATAAATACTATACTTTAGAGATGACTTATGGGATTTAGACCACCTCCATGTAAATGTGACTCCATAATACACACACATAAATGAGAGCCAAAAACCTCATCCCCCAAACCAGCTCTGACTCAAAGGGGAGCCCCACTATTCATGTTCCAAAAGCATTTTACTAATATGGCTTTAATTTATCCTTCTAAGAGACAGAAATAACCGATATGCACTTGGCATATTTCACCGTGTGACTGGCTATCAGAACAAGACGTCTGAACAAAAAAGCACACTTTGTTCTCATCAAGCAAGTTATGGTTGAGAGTCAGAACTTGTAACCTACCAACTAGTTAATTTCCAATTCGAATAGCAGTGGGAAAGTTTTCGCTAGTCCCAGGCCCATGGAAGTTTTGGTTTCCCTTGGACCAGCCTCATGTAAATAGGACTGCCTGAATTTGATTCAGAATGATCAATCCCAATTTGATATACTATGCCTTTATTGTATTAGCCTTAATTGTGTGCAGAGTCCCTCAGTGGATTTTAAAATGCACTTGTACCCCAGGCCTTGCTATAGGCGAATTTGAATTCGATATTTGCAAATTGAATTGTGTTTTGAACATTTTATGGAAGTTAGCTTTTAAAATGCATTATTTCTTATATCAGATACTTCTTATGTAAGGTGAATAACTCTCTGCTCATTTATCTTTGGTTTAAATACAGATTTTAATAAATAGAATCTGTCTTTAGCAAGAACCTTTCTGTAGCTAACTTTAGTCTTTTGGTGATTATTTCTTTGCAGACTAAGCGGAGTAATAATGATTATGTCACACCAATCCTGTGGTAGTGTTATCTTTATAATATGGGGAAGAGAGCAAGCCACAGGTGGTTCTGATCACCTTCCCAAGATCGGTCACCTGGCTCCTTAGTGGATGGTAAGGGATAGAATCCTCATTATCTCAGTTCTGATTCAGTGTCCTTTTCACTGCTCCAGGGTCTGCTACAAGAGGAAGGAGGAAATGGGTGAATGGAAAATAAAGAAGTGGCTGCTTCCACATGTCATAGGAAAACCTATCAATCGCTTTGAAATTGGCTCATAAAGGGAAAAACAGAGACTAGACTAATAAACTCAGTGCCTAATGAGCATAACTAATTCCTCTTGGGATTTTCCATAGTTTAATCCTTTGTGAAATAAAATGCACCATAATGGTCATAACATACCACCCCGGGACAACTTTAATTTTGGAGAAATACTTGTTACATATATCTTCATAAGAATAGTTCTGGACATAGCTCTCTGTACCAGTATGCTAGCATTTAAGGGCAGGGTCTATACATTCACATTTTTATGAATATGAATGTGATATGAAATATTGATCAGTGTTAATTTAATAATGTAAAAGGTGGTGCCCTAAGGTCCCAGTGTCCTACCTATTTTTCCCTACTTAACCTGAAGCAATATTAGAAGGAAATTCAACTCGACATTCTTCAATACGTTTAAAACATAAGAAAAAGCAATGAAAACGTAGCAAAGAACAAGCTCTTCTCATTCAGGAACGAAGGAGTAAACATAGAGTCTAACAGAATCTGGTGATTGCTCTGTGGGGACTAGCTTTACAGAAAAAAAAAAATCAACCTGGTAAAATGTATTTCCTTTTTGCAGCATGCCTACTTGATTGCTGACAATCCACAATCTCAAAATATTTTTTGAATAAATGATACTTATTTTGTTTGAAAAAGAAATGTAACATGTATTTCAATAGTGCAGTTTTGTGGGGAGAGGAACTGTGCTGAGCTATGGGTTATACTAATGGCAGTGGGTGCAGAATGAGTTATCATGGTTTTTATTTATTCATTCATCCTTAGATCCTTTTAAAAGTCTCCAAGGCCCTAATGACCATCATCATTATCATCAGTAAAAACTGCTTTCTGGTGAAAAGGCAATAGGCATTGAATTTAGAGGCAGCATTAAATTATCAGTAAAGAGGACTTGAAATAGTACGACACGCAGATTCCAGGACACAAGATACTGAGAGTTCATACAGCACCAGTTAGGCGCTCTTCTTTATAAAGTTTGAAATTAAGACATTTTCTTCTCCTTTATAAGGCAATAGCATTTTAGCTCAGGAGAAAATAAGATATAGGCCAGTTCCTATGCTCCAGTGTTAAGCATTGGAGTCAAATGTATTCGTCAAAGAAGTTCATTCATTATTTAAAAAAATTTTTTTAATTATCAGTATCAAAACTTTATTTCAGGCAGTTCCCCTACCCAGTATAATTCCTTGCATGTATTAAATAAACACTGTCCAGTGAGTGAAAAAATCCGTGAGAAGTGTTTTGAACCAAACCTTGTTAAGTCCTTTCTTTCTCAGAGGTATTTTAAATATTCCGTTGCTATTCAGCAAACATAATAGAGGCTTTACTTCCCTTGTAGTCTCCAGCAAAAGAATTAGAACTAGATTCAAAGGGTGAAATTCCACTCATTTGGGGGTGAACTTAGTGTGTTATCTGAAAACAGGGAAAGTTTGTACCTTATGATCACAATTTGGGCGGTTGATGCAGTTTAGAAAGTTGTCATGGAGAGAGCAGACCAGAGAAGATGGCTTCATTCCTTTGTGGAAACGTAGGTGAGTGCAAGGTGTTTGGAATTTGCAGCACGGCTGTTAGAGATCATTCTCTGCTATAAATGGTCCAGTCCCTTAAACGCCCTATCTAAGCTTAGAGGGTGCCAGATTTCTGATTTTGAAGCAGATGGTCAGGTATTTGAACTTTCTGCTTTATAAAACAACAGATGTTAAAAAGAAAAAAGAGATACCAAATCCCGTTATGAAACAAGGAAGTACCATATAATGTAAAATGTAACTTTCAGTACAGGCTATTGTTGATAAATTTTCCATCTCTATGAATATGGCTCTTTTTTTTTGCATTCTTTTTATTGAAGTACAGTCAATTTACAATGATGTGTCAATTTCTGGTGTACAGCATAGTGTTTCAGTCATACATATACATACATATATTCGTTTTCATATTCTTTTTCATTATAGGTTACTACAAGATAGTGGATATATTTCCCTGTGCTATACGGTATAAACTTCTTGTTTATCTATTTTATATATAGTAGTTAAATATATATCTGCAAATTTCAAACCTCCAATTTACCCCTTCCCACTCCCTTCCCCCGCTGGTAACCATAAGTTTGTTCTGTATGTTTGTGAGTCTGTTTCTGTTTTGTAAGTAAGTTCATTTGTGTCAAATGTGGTTCTTTTTTAATTTGGTCAAACTTCCTTTTTAAATCAAGAGTGACATATCTCTTTGGAAACAACTGGCAATTTCTTCAAAGTGTCAATACTCTTTTCTGTAAAATGGAGATGCTAACTAGCCTTGTCCACATTCAGGTTGCTAACTAAGGTCAACAGTTGAGACAATGAATGTAAAAGTGTTGTTGTTCATTGTCAAGATTGTACCAATGCAAGTTGTTGCTGCTGTGTTTGCTGCTATTCTTCTGAGATTCCTAGTGGCTTTTAAAAGGGTCTCATGGGGTTTCACTCTGTATCACATTCTTTAATAAACATGCTTTTGTTCATCCCCAAATTTAAAAACTTAGTTTAAAAATGCATTTAGTTTTATTGTTTACCTTGATAAATTCCCCTAATCCAGTCGTATAGAGAAATAGAGGTCCTCAAAGGGAATTCACTTCCATTCACTCTCCTAATTCTTCTGACTCCGAAGTACTTCTAAAAAACAGAAAACATTTCCTTCCTTGATCAAACCTTCCATTCTATTGCCTTTTGCAAAGTGCTTATTTCCCTTAAGCTCCTTTCTCACTGCTTGAGAGTGTTAGGATTTTCAACCCCCAGTACGCCCGGCTGTCCTTACCAGAGCAGATGGGCCAGTGCCTTGTCCCAGGCAGCAGACTTATGATGGGGTCCCCTTGGGAAAAAAGAGTTTTTTCGCAACACACTTTTTCTTGTGATCCTTAACATCAGAATCCAAGCATTCTTCATTTTTTAAAAAGAACTTTGAACAAAGTGTAGGTGAGGCTTCTTTTTGCATTTTTCCTTGTTACACTGGCACATTATTATCAACTTCGTGTGTGTGGTTTTTTCTGTTTGCGTGATTGGTTTTTTTGGTGCTGAAACCGAGGATGACCATTATTTTTAAATCTATAAAATATTAATGGAGGCCTAAGTGAATGTTGTGTTGCTGTGATTAATGGTTTGGAACTGGAAAAATTATCCTTAATTATTGGTTTCAAAAGTGAAGTAATGCTCTATGTTGTCATCAGTTTTAGCATGTATGTTAAGAATCCAGTCTATAGAAGTCCTCTTAATGATGTGTTGACAGTAATTAGACTGTTTCTGTTACTATAAGACCCAGAGTTATTTGAGATGGGATGTAGAATAGTTAAACTTTGTAGACATACAGAATTTTACTGAACTCTGTGAGTTCTGAACAATGCAAAGCTTTCTGATCCTTGTGTACTCTACAGGCTTCTGAAGTAAAGTTGAAGTTCTGCAGTTTAGGTTGTTCAGAATTTTAGACTAAGACTAGCTGGCTAGGTAGACTTGGGTCTTCTAATCATTGATCGATCACAATGACAACTAAACATGTTTAGTTTAAGCTAATTAAAGGTTTAAGCTATGTTTGCAGTTAAAATAAGTTCTGAGCTCAGCATGGGAAAATAATCCTCAAAATAGATTAAGGTGAGTGCTGGCAAATTCAGTTAAATACAGAATCAGCAAGTATATTTATATAGAGAACTGAAATTAATTTGTAGAACAATTTGAGTTTCAATAGCTGTAGTTATGAAATTTGAAATTGTAAAAACCAGAGAGCATTTATTGTTACTGATATACTTAAAGGATTTCCTACTGATCCTACTGTCCTTGGCAAATTTTTACAAAGTTTAAAAAAAATCCTTTTCTTCAAAATTAATTTTAGTTTCCTGTAAGTATATCAAAGGATGTTTTCTGCCAGAGTGAACCGTGTAAGAAAATGAGGTATTGTTTCAACTGCACAAAACTCAGAATTCAACTTGACAAATATTTATTGGGGTACAAAGATTAATAACCCCTGTCCGCTTGCAAATTTCAGCCTTAGAATAGAGAAGGGGTATGTAATGAGTGGTGTACATGCAGACTGAGGGCTCAGTCTGCATGGCCACTATATGTGGCTAATCCTAGTAATCCTTCCTCAGTTCTCATCTGGAAGAAGACTTATAAAGCATTTCTCTATCACCCACTCTGTTACTCGGGATGAAATAAAATTCATATTTTAAGGCCAGACAAGAAAAATTTAAATACATTTTTTTTTCTCTGCCCATCGGGCCTCCCCACTCTCCTCTAGTGTGCGTTGTTGTATGATCAGGCCACTCAGATTGCTATTCTTTTGCTATCTGTATGCTCGAACAGGCCCTGCTTCCCTCACATGCTTATCCAATCCTCTTAATTATAGGGCTTAATTAGTAACTACCTATGTGCTTGCCCCCTGCCCCAGCTGCTGGTTTCCCTGGTGACTGATGAGCCAACCTGACGTCAGTTCCCCCCTATAAATAGTATCCTCCCTCTGCCCGGAGTGGGGGAGGGTTGTTGCCCTATCCTGGCTGTCGTCTGCCATACACAGTAGGACGTCACTCCCTGACCTTTGCCTCTGACGGGTAAGGTCCCCTGTCCAGTAAACTGTTGACGTCTCTGTCGCTGTCTCTGGGATCTTTCTTCAGTCTTGAGGCTGGGCAACTACAAGGCCTGCAGGCCTGCGGGGTGCTGCCCAACGATTGGCAAGCCGACTAGGAGGCTGAGGAACCTCCTGTGAGCTCCAAGATGTCGGGAACTAAGGATGGGAAACAGGAAGTTCAGGGGTAGTTCCAAGGGGGCCGTCCACTAGCATGCGGGGCCCTGTGGGAGCTGACAACTGTCAGAGATGTCTTTCTCTTCCATTACATTGTTGATATTCTGTTAGTCTCAGAATCTTTTTCTCATTAAAAATAGCAGCCCCGCGCTCATGGCTCATCTGACTGCATGGGGATGGCTGGCGAATATAGACAAAACACATGAGCCTGGATTATCTATCAAATACTTGAGTGTTATCTGGTTGGGTAAGACAAGCATATCTCCAACCCATCATCCCTAAACAATTACAGACACAGGCTTTAGAAATATTAACTCTGGAACAGGCTCATGAATTGAACATGACAGTTACCTAGAAGAGTTTGGTTGGGGCCTGTGGCAACAGCAAAATGAGTCCCCTTTGACTTCTGGTCCCAGCTATGGAAGGGGGCAGAGCAACGATATAGTGTGATGGAGCAACAGCTATATGCCATCGCCAATGTGTTACCGCAGGTGAAAGACATTACAAAAGACCCACCCGAGTCATCAAGCAATGCAGAAAACGTGTGCAACATGCAGAGCCCCCGTGGACAGCGATAGCAGCCAAGGAACCCACTTTACCGGCCGTGCAGTTGAGGATGGGCTGATGAAAGTGCCATACGCGGGCGTCTCCACCTGCCTGACAGCCCCTCTGCTGCCGGGCTAATGGACGGCTTTCACAACAGTTCAGATGGAAACCCGCTCTCTCAACATGTGGACTAGAGGCTGACTCAGGCCTCCAAACTATAACTAAACGTCCCAGGTGCAGTCGTCCTAGTGCCCGCGCCATGTTAACCCGGAGGCAGCTAGTCAACACCACCTGAGTTCAGCTGTTGACCACCAAAGGACTGTTACCAGCTATCGATCAGGACAATAACTCACTTTTGCCCTTGCCACAGCATCTACCACTGGGGGAGCACACAAGGAAAAGGCCCTGGGACTGGCAGGTAAGTCCCTTGTGATTTGGGTTTGCCGTCCCGTGAGGAATAGGATTAAAAAGGGACTTAGAGGCCTCACCTGTCTTCTACCCGCCCCCACCTAAGATGCCTACGGTAATTCATCCAGGCCCCTTCCTGGGGAAAGGCACCATTGTATTAACCCTGTTGTCTGTTGTTATGCCACCTCCCTAGTGTTTGGCACTGGCTGTGGGGACTGCGGGTGGACAGGTGGTCCGGTGCTGCAGGCCAGGACGAAAACCACAGGCAGGCGTGGTACTGGCTCAGAATGCTGTTACTGCTTGCATTTTGCCTAATGATCATGATCTTCCTCTGTTGCGCCTGTTAAACATCTTACATATCATCCCTAGTCTAAGTGAAGGGACTCTGTTCACAGACTGGGTGACAGTGGGGGCCTCACTGCGAAGTGAGTCTGATTGCTGTTGTGGTCCTCGGGGACCCCATGAGAAATTGACCCAATAAGCGTGTGAGTTACTGCTGGTTCTCTTTAGCTGCTGACGCCTGTATTGCATTTGCGGTATCTGGTTGTAGTACACCTGCACGTATCTGACCCCAGGGACACCTTGGAAGAGGAGCAGACTGAGATTGTAAGGGTTGTGCAGAGCAAGTAGGGGTGAACTGTATGGTCAGGCCACTCAAGATGGTGTTTTTTTGCTTTCTATGCATCCCTTGCTCGACCAGTCCCTGCTCCACTCACATGACTATCCATTCTTTTAATCATGGAGTTCAATTAGTAACTGCCTATATGCTTGCCTCCTGCCCCAGCCACTGTTTCCCTGGTAATTAACAGCCAACCTGAGGTCAATTCCCCCTATAAATGGTCACCTCCTCCCCCAGGTAGTGAAGATTGTCATGTCCTGCCTATTGTCTGCAGTACCTGGTGGTGTGTTGCTCCAGGACCTTTGCCTCTGACATGGATAGGAAATCTTACAATAAGCCACTAATGTCTCGGTCGTTGTCTCTGAGCTCTTTGTTTGATCTTGAGGCTGGGCAACTACAAGGCTTGCAGGCCTCTAGCTGCAGCCCAGCATTTGTGCATCTGCACTCTGCATTAACCAGACATTGCCAATGGCGGAAGTACCTGCTCAACTATAAAGGTGAATTTCCTTTTCTGGTACCTCCTTAGAAGATAACATTCCTTTTTCAATCCTGTAAGGGTCACGATGACCTACCACTCACCTCTGTGTGTGCAGAACTTTATGTACAATGCCAATATATCTTTTCCTGTAAGGACAGTAATTGGTATGAAACAGACTGGGTCAAATAACCTGGAGAAATACGGGCTGCACCTACTGGATGTTCTTAGCTTAAATACTTACTTATGACTTTATTAATGTTACTAGCTTATTACTTGTATTCTGCCTATTCTACAAGATTATTATTTCTTTCATTACCAAATGTGTGACTGAGCCTCTGATAAAAATAATGACTAGGCAACTTGAAACAATGGACCAAATATATAGTTCTTTAAGATCAGTGACTGTAATATTGTAACTCTAGATGTGGGAAGAAGCAACAAGAGGGAACCATTTCCTGGACCATAACAGACTAGGAAGACAGGCAGTCCAGATGCTTTTGGCTACAGTTAACAGGCCCTAGTCCAGTAATAGCACATTGAGTGGCCCATTAACAAAATCCTCGCCTGACCTGGGAATGAGCATTGCCAGAGCCAGGGACAAATTGGTCATGAAACGCCTCCCAGATCTTGGTAAAAATTAAGACCAAAGGAGAGGGGATTGTAAAATAATGTTGCCCACCATCTAGTTCTACAAGGATGAAGTCACTGACCTCTGCAGCTGCTGACCTGCAATACAGCCCGAAGGGAGATCAGGGCAAAGAGCAGGATGAGGCACTCGGTGCTCTGGAAAACTGGCAGAACCGGCGCTCAGGTAGTTATTTTCAGGAGAAAATTTTATGAACGCAGTTTCTTGAATCTTCCCGTACATACAAAAGCAGGAAAGCACAGAAACCATTAACTAAGAAACCTGTTTCTCATGAATAGCGGTAACCAAAATGTGTGCTTGACTACACACACCCTTTGCCAAAATCTCACATGTGCTGGCCTCCCTCCTCATCTCTTCAGAACAGCCCTCAGAGCTTTCTGAAAGACTGTCTCCTGGGTTATAATCCAAAGGTTTGCTCGAATACAGTTTTTTCTTAGATTGACTATTAAGTTTTCATTGACCCTCAAAATTAGGGTAGGCCTCACTTCGGAGAAAATGTGTGTGTAAACTTACCAAACAGGTAGGTTTGGGGCAAGGGGTAGACTTATTCCATTATAAAATAGGGGGGTCAAGCGCTTTTCCAAAAAATTTATTGTTAAGGTTATTTAAGTAGCAAACGCCTGAGGTGACATTAGCATAGAATCAATTTTGCAAAAATTGAACTTCATTCAATTTTCCAAAGGTGACAACCCATAAGACCAAACCCTAGGACACTGATGGTTATAGAGTGAACATTCTGTAATAAGAGGACATTTTTCAAAAGTTGACATATTTGGTTCGCATAATTAGACTCTTAAACTGACAATATACCTGATCACCTCAGCCAGAGCCAAAGGATGGCTATGAGGCATGGGGTGAAAATGTGGCATGTGACCCTTCTAAAATTTGGCTTTTCTCTATACCCACAAAAAATACTACATTATGATTGAAAACAGAATATGGACAATGAAGCATTTTTATACCAAACTGTTAATTTAAGATGAATGCCTTTAAAATAAAAAATCTAGGAAACAGTTTCTGATTGCCTAGCATAGGAAATTTCACTGCTGATTCTTAGGGTTTTTTTTGTGAAGAAAGCAATGATTTTGCCAAGTTTCATAGTTCAGGCATCAGAACTCTGCTGCTGTTCCAAAAAATAAAAATAAATAATAACTAGTTAAATTAGTGTTTGGGGAAATGGATTAGATTGTAATGTATGCAAGCAATTAAGCAACACAGACTTGATTCACTGTGATGTCTAAAATGGCATTTTAAAAAATGAAAGTAGCTAAATTTGGCCCTGATAAAATATATAGCAGCAATGGGTTAGGAATTTTCCAGTTTTGCCCAAAGAGTCCAATCAAACAACCCATATATTAGGTGGCTGTTAACATGCTGGCAGCTGAATTTTTTACATCAGTTTCCAAGGTTGCACAGTAATTACATCTACTGTGAGTCATTTTTGCAGCATATTTTATAAAACTTTTACAGGTTTGCTGGGAAGGGATTATTCAAAGTCACCTTTTATAGATTCTGCCATGAATATTAGACAGTTCTTTGAAAATGTTAGTGTTTACCACTTCCATTGCTTCTGGTTTAAGCACAGTTGGCATCGGAGGGTTTAGTATAGTATATGAGTGGAGCTTCCTTTTCTGCGTAGACCTTCTGTTCCCTAGCACCGCTGGTTTATGTTCCCACTGAGCTGCCGCCAGGACAAAATAAATCCAGTTGCCTTTTGCTGCTCAAGGCCAACCGAGCAACCATGGAAAGAATTAGTTGCTCTGAGCACTCGTCCTAGGATGTCATTGGGAGGTGGTGATGTGCAGTTTCAGGGTCAGTACAGCCCTCAGAGGGTTTGCTCATTTGAACGGCTGACTAATTTAGATTTAATATTTTGGTACTTGCTCTTTATTCTTATTCTCAATTATGTCCAGTCAGTGCGCAGAGATGTATTGAAGACTGTGATTGGATTAAACTACCTAGGCTAACGTTTAGAACCACTGCTTATTAAATCAATTGTTTTAGTTTATTCTATTTGCATTAGTACATTTTCACACCTGAGTGAAAAGTCCTGGTTGTTTTTCAAATTAGCATTTTAAGCTTGTCTTACTGTTTTATTTCATGGATGGCACTGTATTCGTTTTAGAATAAAAAGCCTAGGAAGAAATAAGGTGTTACATTTTGGAGATGGTGCATGATCTTACTGGGAGGTGGAATCAGTATTGGGGTTTCAGACGGAGGAAGATAAATGGCAGAGAAGCTGGGGCTCTGTGAAAGCTAAAAGGCAACGGAGAAGAAAGCAAACTGGTCTCTGCTGGGGTCCTCGGCAGCCTCAGCGCCGTCTGCAGTGAGGCTCAGACGAGGGGGACAACTCGAGCTCAGAAGGCGTCGGGGTGGGAGGCTGTGGCTGCACGGTAGCACCAACCTTCTTCACTCTGCCGCTCGCTCACGGGCCCAGAAACACGTGTGACTGTCTTTTCTACACTTACTTTCTGATGTCTGTTGTAAGCCTGGTTTTGAGCTCTGCTGACACCTCTGCCTTTGACACCTTGAATCTTCTTGCCTTAAAAGGAACTGATCCTGACCACTGCACCACTGGCACTTCTTTTTTTCTTCTCCTCATTCAAAGGAGAACACAGTTTCAAAAATAGATTTCAAATCTTAAAATTCATAATTAGCAATTTCAGTATTTTTGGAAACTTCATTCATTCATTCAGCTGTCTGTTGAATATCTACTCTTTAGCAGGAGCTCTTCTAGGTGCTGAGGATTCAGAGATAAACAAGACAAAGATGTTGGGCTCATGAAGCTTACATTTTGGTGGAAGAGAAAGTTGGTAAAGAAAGAAATTACTATTCTTATTGAAGTTTAGTTGATTTACAGTGTTGTGTTAGTTCCTGGTGTACAGCATAGTGATTCAGTTATACATATATATATTCTTTTTCATATTATTTTTCATTATAGGTTGTTATAAGCTATTGAACATAATTATAATAATATATAATCGTGATATCATTATAATATATAATTATAATAATTGAATAATATTGAACATAATTATCTCTGAGTCTCTATCCATTCTGTAAATAAGTTCACTTGTATCTTTTTTTAGATCCCACATATAAGTGATACCACATGATATTTGTCTTTCTCTGACTTACTTCACTTAGTATTATGATCTCTAGGTCCATCCATGTTGCTGCAAATGGCATTATTTCATTCTTTTTATGGCTGAGTAGTATTCCATTGTGTATATACACACACACACACATATACCACATCTTCCTTAT